CCTGGAGAATTCTTAGAAGTTGGTTCATCCTGTTTTGATATTGATGTTTCTCTCTCTCTCTCTTTCTCTTTCTTTCTATCTCAGCCATTGACTGTGGTCCCTGTGAGATTCCAAGACTGCAGAGGAACTCCAATCAGTGCTGTCCAGTTTTTGAATGCGGTAGGTCATTTTTTGCCAGAAACTAGAAGTAAATGTTGGCTTGTGGGAGGTGGGGGGGAATTGTGGTCACATGATTGTGGAACGCTGGCTGGTTGCCGAGCTGCCAAAATGTAGTTGTGACCAGAGGATCAGATATCTGAACTTCAGTCAAGGACATTAGCTTTTTCAGGGTGCACTACCTGTCTATCTGTCCTATCCATCTATCCATCCATCTATCCATCCATCCATCCATCCATCCATCCATCTTATCTGTCTGTCTGTCTGTTTGTCCGTCCGTCCGTCCGTCCGTCCGTCCGTCCGTCCGTCCGTCCGTCCGTCTATCTATCTATCTATCTATCTATCTATCTATCTATCTATCTATCTATCTATCTATCTATCTATCTATCTATCCATCCATCCATCCATCCATCCATCCATCCATCCATCCATCTACTTATATCTATCAATCTGTCTTATCCATCCATCCATCCATCCATCCATCCATCCACCTTTATCTACAGTATCTATCTGTCTTATCTGTCCATCTGTCCAACTATCCATCTCTCTTGTATGGAGCCCATCTCACCACCAGGCCAATAGTTGATGGTCTTAAGCCATCTTTTCACAATTGGCAACAGGCATGTGGGTTTCTTAATGCTCCTAATAGATCCTGTTCTGCGGTTTGTTGCAGGGCATAACTTCTCTTGTTTTTTCCCCGTGTTTAGTCTGCGATCTGATCTCTTGCAAATTGCCTCCGATACCTCACTGTGAAGATGGTCTCCAACTCATCCAGGCAAATCCCGGAGGATGTCGACCAGATTACGCTTGCGGTAATATCCCTTTCAACCACTCAAACGCTGGGTCAGCTTCCTAATAACTCCCCTATTGGATGTCTGCTTATAAGTTTTTTATTTTCGTCGTCTTCCCTCACTACCTATAGCCTGGCCGGGGAGGGGGGAAGAAGCTCTGCGGCAAATTATTTGGGTTTTCTGATTTGATTGGCAGTCTGCAAAAAGGAAGAGTGTAAGCCACAGTCCACCCCGTTCTGCCCACCACACCGCAAACCGATTTTGGTGAAGACTCGGTGCTGTGATGAGTTCCAGTGTGTTTGTAGCTGTAACAATTCAACGGTGACCTGCCCGCCAG